CGCCGCGTGCCTGCGTGCTGCTGAAGAGGCCGGCCGCACGCTCGACCGTGCCAACTGGACGGGCCGCCCGTTATGGAACGACCTGCTCAACGACTTACGCCCCGCAAAGTGCGATCTGCCTGCCAGGGCTGGCAGCATCACGGTTCACGCGCTTGCTCTACCCATTTGCGCGAAATTGAGTTGCTGCCTGCGTTGCCTGCCCAGGCCATGCTCCGCTCGCAGTCGGGGCCACATGCCGCAGCGTGCGTGCGAAGCTGGCACCACTCTGCCGCCCGACCGCATGCTCATACCTTTGCGGCGTGTGGGGCGAACATGGCCACGGCTGCGGAGCAGTGTCAGGCCTTCTAGTACGCCGGGGTGCGAGTTGCTGCAGCTGTCGGCCCTGAGGGCGAGGTCGTCCCGCCACAATGGCTCGCGGGCACATCGGCCCCAAACTTCGATCCGGAAGACAGCCGCCGCCTCGACTTTGTAGCGTACGGGGCTACCACGCTCGCAGAGGCCTTGTATGGCCTTGTGCTGCGATGTGACGCTCGTGTCCCCGCTGACACGGGATGGGCGCCCCTGATCGCTGTCGCTGAGAGGACCCTGCGCAGCGCCGCTAGCCAAGGTTGACTGCGCGGCTGGTGGGTTGCCTTGTTTCGAGATTATTGTATTGGTTTTGGCAGGTGCTTTGTGTATTGGTGTTTTGAAAGGTTGAAATGTTGGGCGGGTTGAAACAAAACATGGGTAGAAAGTGTAGTAGGGGGGATCTAGGATGTGAGGTATGGGGTTAGCCCTTGCTTCTTTTTAGAAAGCTACAAGTGACTTAAATATCTTAAGCTATACCGCCGCCTGATTGTTGAACTTTGGGCTCTTCAAGCAAAGCCTCCTTTTCACCCCAGACCCACCTGCTCAAATAAGAGTAATTGCACCGGAACAGCACATATACCAGGATACCAGTTAGGTTTCAGACCCATGATAGCAGCCGTATGTATTCGTAGCGGTTTGACATGCCGCTTGTGTTTGCGATCAGCGTGCTGTTTCGAGATGCATTTAAGTTTTTTTCTTGTTTCAGGTTCGGTCACTACCGGTCAACAAGAGGGTAACGCTGTTGATGTTTACAACCAGCACGGAAAAACTGTTGATGGTGGCGTGTTTGGAGCAAGACGATTGTAAATGGGACATGTTAGTGCACGCCAGCCATGGTCTCACCACTTCGCCGACGTGTCTCATGTCACGAAGCACCAGCGGAGGTCGGAGGCAGGGCCGAGCATTGCAAGTGCGAACTTACGCTTTCGAGTGTCACCCAGTTTTGGGGATGCAGGTGGAGGTGTCGAGCCCACAGCATTACGGATTGCGCGAATTAATGAGCAGCTGGCGGAGATCCAGGCACACCTTGTCCTGCAAACTATACAACGAGCGATGTAAGGCAGCTGTCCCAAACAGAAAGATTCACACACACACACACACACACACACACACACACACACACACACACACACACACACACACACACACACACACACACACACACACACACACACACACACACACACACACACACACACACACACACACCACCACACACACACACACACACACACACACACACACACACACACACACACACACACACACACACACACACACACACACACACACACACACACACACACACACACACACACACACACACACACACACACACACCGTTGCCCATCATGTCAAGTAAGCACTCCCCTTGGGAAGGGCCTATGATCCTGCGCCGCACATTGCATTCGCACTGATTCTTGCACTTCGTGATATGCTCGATCGAAAAGAGCAACTTCAATCCTTGACCGTGTCCAATCCAGGCATTGATGCAAGTCACGATCCACAAGTTGGACAGCCAACAAGCCCGCCCCTCACCAATTGTTGCATGTGCGACACCTCCTCGACTGAGTCCAGAGACGTTCCAGCAGGGTGCGTGCGCAGTGCAAGCCTCCATGGCACCGACGTGTGCAGGCAGACTCGGCCCTGGTGTTGCAGCGCCTGCGTAGCCGTTTGCTGGACAGCCTGTGCCCGCAGAAACTGCGGAAGACGGAGCGGCTCAGAAAACTGGTGAAGCTCGGAGTGCATCACAGCTTCTGCCAACATGAAACGCCCACAACTTCAAGACGTCGTGTCACAATCAGATGACAAGGAAACGGCTGGCCGCGTTGGAGCGGAACGTTGGTCGCAGCTGTTCCGCAAGCAGCGCTGGTAGACACAACCGGGCGAACATGTTAAAGGTTGCTATTCTCGGTCATGCTTCGCGCCCATTGTGTTCGTACAGGCGAGCAAGCCGAGTGCGTGAAAGTCATGGAGGCACATCCTCGATGACTCGAGATTCATAAGTTGCATTCGGAGGTTCACTAGTCTGTCTTTCGCTGTCTGTGGTGTGTTTGACGCCGAATGCTGCAGGCCGTGTTGACCACTGTGGAACGGCGGCTTGGCGATATCAGCTTTGCCAAGACCCATTTGGTACCTCCGCGACAGATTGAGGAACGGGCAGGTGGCTGAAGCCGTGACCGATCCCCAGCTTTGGATTTTTTGCATGCTTTTTGTATCCTGTTTTTCTTATGGAAGGTGCCACCACCTTGGTGGAGCTGACATGTCATTTCCTGTTGTCTCTACTGCAATGCTGTCTAGTGTCGGCATGTCATTGGCCGGAATACGGAAGCTCGCCACTTGGCCAGGTTCTCGGAAGCGTGAAGCTGTGATGCCGAGCATGTGCCGCGCCGGGAACAGAGGCAAAGGAATCCAGCTTCAGTCGGACATTGCAACTTCCAGCTATTCCGTGTCATTGCATGGTCGTGAAAGATGTTTAACGCTAGTCGCGGGTTTGACAATGAGCCTCGCAATGGCAAGAGCTTGTTGAGCACTGTTTCCGAGGTCGTATTCACCGTTTTCCTCATCGCCATCGCTGGTTGGCCAGCTAGGGAGGCGAAGTGATCGCATGTATGTTTGTTAGATGCTGTTAGCGCTTATGTTTACGTTCAGGTGTAGGTTTCTGTTATTTGTATATCTTTGTATGCGTATGTGCAGGTGTAAATTTAAGTGCATGTGCATGCAAGTATGTGTATGCAAACAGGTGTATGTATGTGTGTCCGTATGTATGTATGGATGTACGTATGCATGGATAAATCGTGGCTTAACGAATTCGGCGCCTGGACAAAGTGTGCCACGAAGGATGCTTGGAGCAGCAAGAACGGAAGATTCCGAGAGTTGGCGGCTTATTTTCCTTCACATAATGCCGGTTGAACTTGACATTCGGGTTTGGACTTTGCATCCGTTCGGCAAGTGGTGGACTTCCACAATGCACACATCGCCGTAAGGTCATGCTCTCGGATTACCTGCCGGAACTACGTCGGCAAAGGCAGCCCAAGAGGCACAAGAGTTTGTGAAGGCTTGAGTATCCACATAGATATAGAACCAGATATACATATACACACGCAGACAATCATTGACAGTCATATTACAGCAGCAACCATGCAGATGAACGTATATGCACATATACATGGCGAGACGTCTGGCGTTCCCGCCACCCCTCCCCCCCATTGTATGATATGGTACGGCGGGATGGGGCGAGGCGTGTGCAGAGAGGGTCCGGGCCAGTGGAGCTGCAGAACCCACGCAAGCCGTAAACCCTACAACGTAACACGTTCTCAGTTTTATTAACCTTACTTGCACTTCAACCCAACAGCCGATTTTACACCCCGCCTAAACGCATGCTTTAAGCGTAAAGCAGACCAAAAAACGTGAAACCTAACGAACCTACACCCCAACCCTCCCTAAGCCCTTGTCGACTCGAATCCTTATACCTCGACACCCTAAACCCTAAACTGCAAACACACAAGCTAAAGCTAAACCCTAACCCCCAAAACCCCACAACCACCCAACAGAAGAAAGAGGGATCCCACACCCCACCTCACATGGAGGGAGCAGGCCGGGGCCCGCTGAGCGCGTCACCATATATATCATAACATATGAGATCTTCCTTGTACTTCAACAAACCAAACCCCAGCCCTGCCCACCGAGGCACTCTTTGATATGTTTTGATGAATGGTGGTCGGTAGTCCAGAGCACAAAGCCTGACTAATAGAGTTGAGCACTGGAAACATGCATCCTGAAGCTTTCGCTCTATGCTGTTTGGAGAAGTAGTGTCTGGTGTCCTGACCCTTCTTCTGCAGGGGTCTTCTTCGGGGTGGTTCGGCCTCAGCTGCCCAGGGCATTGTGCTGGATCCTTGGCCTTCTCGGTCTCGCTCCTCTTTTCGGGGTTCTGTGCCGGTTCCCTGGCTACCCTTTTCTTTGTCCGGGGCTTTCTGCTTCGACCGGGGCCTCCCACCCCTGATCCTCCTTCGCCTCCCACGGTCCTTCGTCCTCCTCCTGATCTACGTCTGCGAGCTTACGCTTTGCATGGGCGATCAGGATCTGGCCAACACCATCGCTGAGGTGCAAGGGGCCCTTGAGAGGCTCCGAATTTCTGTGGAAAATCAGGCCAGCCGGGCTGATTCTCCTTGGGTGGTGGTTAGTGACCCTAGTCCCAACCCTAGTGGTTCTTCCCCAGCCGGGGCCCGACCTCCTAGGGGTGCTAGTGGTTCGGTGGTTGCCAGTCCTCCTCGCCGGAGTGACATCCGTGCTGACTTTCCTGCTTGTCCTTCGCATTGCCTTGAACTGTGTGAGCGCCTGGCTCCCTCCAACGGTTTTAGTGCTGCTGATCGCGCTCGCCGCGCGTGGACTGCCGGGCTTTGGGCAAACGAGGTCTTTGAGGGGGCCGTGGCCACGCCTGATCCCTCTCCTGTGCTTAGCCTGCGGCCTGTGGTGTACATTGTGCTCAGGAGCGACCGCCTTGCTGGGCCGGCCCGCTTCTCCTCTTTCCGCTCGCTTCGTGCCGCTGTGGGGCCCCTTGAGGGTACCAGCACCATTTGCCACTCTTTCCCTTCTCAGGCTGAGGCCCGTGTGTTCTGCATCGCTGCCGGCTTCCCCTTTCCGCCTGCACAATGAACTTGGAGGCCCTCAGGATCGATGGCGAATCGCCAGGGGCGATCTGTACCATTCGTTGGCCGCCGGTGGCCGATGCGCCGGACCGCGTTTTGCATTTAGCCTGGCCGTTGCTGAGTCGTCCGGGAGCTTTCCTTCTTGCTCTCCCGGTGGCCTTGCAAGAAGATGCTGTGCTGGCGGCTGGTGGCGCTACTTCCCCTTTCGGTCCTTCGGTTGTGGTATGCGTGCCAGCCGTCGAGGAGGGCGATGCCGGGGAGGACATACCTGCGGGCTACGAGATGTCAGTCCTACTGCTGGACTTGGAGGAGGCGGCTCTCAGGTTCATGAGCTTATTCGACCCGGTAACGGAATCGGGTCTTGTTGTGGGCTTCGAGCCGAGTGCGGCCCATGTTCTTCCCTCGGCCGAGGATCTCATGCGTGCTGCCCTGAATTGGGTTGGCAGCGACCAGGCCTCTGCTTTGGCGTATGTGACGGCCCAGGAGGAGGAAGAAGGAGTCCCGGAGGTGATGCCCAAGAGAGCTGCCAAGCCCAAGCGGGTTACTACTGCTCAGCTTGCCGATCAGGTACAGCAGTGTGGATCAGGTGCGTGTCCTGACCGAGCGCCAGGCTGCCTTGGCGCCCTCTCCTGCTTTGCCTGCCGGCTCGGCCCACCAACAGGACTTCCCGAAGGTTGCTTCTGTAGCTGCTTCGCCTCCGGTTCTTGCCTCTTTGGCTGCTGGGCTGCCTGCGCCCACACTGTTGGCGGCGACTCCGAAGGCCCCTGTGAGGCCAGCAGCTCCACCCCCTCCTGCGCTCCCCGTGTCCTCTGCCTTGCCGTCCTCCTCGGACCACTTGGCAACTGCCATAGCTCAGCAGGGTCAGGCCCTGAGTCTCCTCGTGAACCACCTGGCTTCGCAAGGCGAGGCTCTGGACCTCACGTCGGCCACGGCAGGGCTGGGCTCGAAAGGTTCAGCAAAGAGGGAGCGGCTCCAGCAGGAGCTCATGCAACGGACGGGGACTTTCTACCTGCAAGTGTGCCAGAATGCATTCCGCAAGCTCTACCCGGCCTCTCCGGTGCCTGCCTCCCTGGCCGAGTTTCAGACCGATGGGCGGCTGAGTTTCGTGACTTACCTGGAGCGCTTTGGAGGTTATGCTCAAAGTCGGGACCTTGCCCTGGTCATGCACCAACTTGCTTTCGTGGCCGACTGTCTCGTCCAGGACGACGTGCATGGTGCTCGCGAGCACTTGGGCTTGCTGCTGGCCTCTACGGAGCAGGCCGCTCAGGATCGCAACTGGTCCCTGGCTTACCTTTTGTGTCTTCTGGAGGAACCGGCACCACAGGTGTATTCCTCGCGGGCCCAGGGTTCTGCAAGCCGCCTCCGGGCCTTCACCCCCCTCGTTTCTCCCACTTGGGGGTCGACTGCCCTTTCTTATGTTCGCGAGCTCGACCTGCTGACTCAGAGGAGGAAGGACACCGTTTCGCCAAAGGCCCCGTCCGGCGAACTTCACGACGATGCCGCGGCCGCACCAAAGCGGCGGCCGCGCTTTCCGAGGAAGCCAAAGGACCCGCAAGCTGCACAGTGACTTCTGCTTCGGCTCCGCCTGCTTCTCCCTGCTTTGAGCCCACGTCATTTGCACCACGACCCCCTACGGATGTGCCCTGCCCTTTGTCTTCGCAGGCTTCCCCGTCGGGCCCCTGGCTGGCCTCCACTGCCGTGCCCTCTTCCGTGGCTTCGCCACCCTTGGACTCTATCGGCAAGTGTGCTGGACAGGCTCTGCATAGTCAGCCCTTTTCGCCTTCGGCGGCCCTCTCCTTTAGACGATGGGCTTTTTCGTTGGCCTCCCGCCTGATTGCCGGCAAGACGGCCTTCTCGGCTTTTTTCAAGAGAACTCTGCATCTGCGCTGGTGCGGCCAGCCGGCCCCAGCTTCAGTCTTTTTGCCTTTGCCTGTTCCCTGCCCCGGTGCCTTCCGGTACCTAGGCCACTCAGGTCAGCGTCGCAGGCAGCGCTCTGCTTGCCAGGTCGCTCTCCATGCCGTGGTGGTCGCGGTCAACTTCATTTACTACGACTGCGCTTTCGTGCCGCTCCGGCTCCTAGCTCGACCTCCTAATCCTGCCCAGGAGCGCTGCCTCCTCTACCTGAAGGGGATGGTCCAGACTTTCGGTGACGTCAAGGAGGGCATCTTCCCTTCCGAGACGGGCCGCCGTATGAATTCACTGATTGCAAGGCTCACCGAGGTTTCTCAGAAACTCGCTGTGTTGGGTCCACTCGGCGACCCTTATGCATATGTGCCGGCAGGCATCGAGGTACCCATGTGCAACACCACTCCCGACCTCGAGCCTTACCGCTCCCTCTGTGCCGAGCGCCTGCGCCTGTCTGGAAAAGCAAACTGGAAGCCTGAGGACTACCTGCCGCCGGAGCTTTTGATGGCATACTCTTTGCCTTCTTCTTTGCTGTGCGGCCGGACTCCCCTCCCTGAGGAGTATCCGCGGGCTGATTTTGAGTCTGTGTGCGAGACCCGGGCTTTGGCTGTGAAGTGGGCCTCTCTTGACCTGCTCCACCTTGAGCCGGCCCAAGACCTTCCCATGCACGAGTTCACTCGCATCTTTAATGCCTACAAAAGCGCTGATGTTGATCGCCAGATTGGCGACCGTAGAGGTCGGAATGCTGCTGAGGCCAGGCTTCCCGGCCCTTCGCGTTGGCTCCCCTCTGCAGATGTGTTGTGTGCCTTGAGCGCCGATGCCAAGAAGGAAGCCCTTTGCCTTTCGATGTCGGACAGACGTGATTTTTATCACCAATTGTGGGCGCCATGGTCCAGGGCTGTGACTAACCGGCTTTACCCCAGCTTCAGCCCAGAGGAGTTTCGGGGCACGGCTGAGGTTGCGCACCTCTCCCAACTACTTAGGCCCTGCCGGCCGTCCTGCCTCTGACCCGCCTCCTCTCGCTGCCTGGCCGCGCTTGGTGCAGCCATGCTTCCGGGCGGTCTTGCAAGGGGATCACCTTGGGGTTGAGCACACGAGCGACTCCTCATTGGGGCTGGGCTCCTCCAGGAAGAATCCAGACTTTACGGGTCGTGGCCCGTTGGCCGCGGCCCTCATTGGGAGGGCCTTGTAATCGACGACTTCTTTGCCATCGCCAGGGTCAGTCGCCGGTCTTTGCTGCAAGGGTGCGCCTCCTCTTCTGGCTCTGCGCTTGATACTGCTCTGGGCTGCTACGCCAGTCATGGTCTCCTTGGGTCTCCTGAGAAAGACCTTCGCGACCAGGTGTTTGGAAAAGCCGCTGGGGCTGAGATAAACTCTTCTGCCGCCGCCTTGGCGCGAGGACACATTCTGGTCGCGGCCCCTAGCAGCAAGAGACTCGCACTCTCAGACCTTACGCTTGAAGTGAGCACCCTGCCTGCAGCCTGCAACCACCGATTGCCTGCATTCTTGCTTGCTGGGTGCCTGGACTTCTGCGGCTTTGTTTCGGAGGCCTGTCTCTGCCTGCTTCCAGCATGCCTATCGCCTTTTCCCGTCCAGCTCTTTGGACCCCGGGTCGCCCAAGATAGTGCCACTGCCCAGGCGGGTTGCGATGGAGCTTCAGCTCATTTCTGTGCTGGCCCCCCTTGCGGCTACTGACGTCTCTGTGCCGTACTTGCCCCGCCTTTTCGCAACGGACTCGTCGGAGGCGAAGGGCGCAATCGTTTCGGCTCCCATCTCTCAGGAGCTGTGCCAATCTCTGTGGCTGTGCTCTGACAGGAAAGGCGCTTACTCGAGGCTTACTTCTCGTACAGGGCATTCTTCAGCGGGCCGACCCTCTCTTTGAGGACACAGGCGAGGACCATGGACCGGAAGAGCCTCTGCCGGTGCCGGGGCCTTCCCGCCCCCTTGCCTACGACTTTGAGTTCCTAGAGCTCTCGCTTGGTCCCCCTGATCTTTCTCAGGAGATAGCTCGCCGAGGGTTTCGGGTAGGGCCTCATGTTGATCTTAGGCTTGGGTCTGATTGGGGGCTTCAGCGGCCGATCGTCCTTGATTGGGTTATGCATCTGATCGACGCTGGCCGGCTGCTCGGCATCTACATGGTCCCGCCCTGTGCCTCCAGCCTCCCTTCCGTACGTGGTGCTGGGGCAGTGCCTTCTGGAAGCCGGTGGGGCCTTCCAGGAAAGCGTTACGAAGAGGCTGCTTTTGTGCTGTGTGCAGCCGTGTTTAAGCATGCCAACCGCCGGGGGATCTGCGCTCTACTCGAGCTTCCTGCCTCCTCGGATTTCGTTGCCGGCCGTTTGTGGGCCTCCTGCCGGGCCTTGCCTTATGCTTCCCAGATCGCGCTCTCTGCTTGCGCTTTCGGTGACCGCCGTCGGCGCGACCTGCTTGGACTCGCCACGGGCCTTGAGTGTTCCTCGCTGTGCCTTCCATGTCCAGGGGACCACAAGCACTCTGTGCCACGCTCGGGTTCTGCAGCCACTGGTTTCAAGCACTGTGCCGGCCTCGTCGTTGCCTATGCCCGCGTTCTCTGCCGTGCTTTGCGGTCCCTTCTTGCATGCACTGAGGCCTCTGATCCTCCTGTGTCCGGTTTGGAACGCCAGTGCGTGAATGACTTAGCCCTTGGCCTCGAGTGGGAAGTTTCCTCTTCGTGGTCCTGGCCCCGGCCCATCCACATCAATATCCTCGAGTCTTCAGTGTTGTGCCGGCTCTATAAGGATCTTGCTGTGCGCTACGGCCCTTGCCGAGCTGTCGCCTTTTGCGACTCCTTTGTTGCTCTTTCCTCTCTGGGGAAGGGCCGCTCTTCGTCAAAGAGCCTCCGCCACTCTGCTCGCCGTGCTTCAATGATCTGCCTGGCTGCCGGGATCTACCCTGGCAGCATGTATACACCTACCCGCCTGATGCCTGCAGACCACCCTACGCGAGACAACGACATTCCGCCTCCCGTCCCTGGACTTGGGCCTGCTTTTTGGACCTTCGAAGCTGTCAAGCAGGACACTGTGCGCCCTCGCCTCCGGCGGTGGGCTTCCTCCTGGGTTCGACTTGCCCTCCTTTTACGGCCC